GAGCAGCATTTTGGGAAAAAATGACGCCGGCGCCTCAGCGAGAGTCGTTTCCCGGGATTTTCCGGGCATCCTGTGTGTAAAAAAACAGTACGCGGAGGGTGCGTGGCTATCACCCGGACGCCATCAGGGGAAGAGGGAGAGTATATTCATATTGAGTAATTGTGGAGAGGGGCGGTGGTCAAAGAGGAGGGCGCGAGCGGGAAGGAGAATAGGAAGAGGAGGAGTAGGGAGTGGAGGGGGGATAGGAGAGACGTGCGTTCGAGGCATGCTGCTGCGGCGGGGGTTCACAAGCCCGTCTCACAGCATTTTTCCTCCCTCTTCTTCTTCTTCCTTCTCCTCCTCGTCCTCCTTCTCCTCCTCCTCCTCCTCCTCCTCCTCTTCCTCCTCTTAGTCCTTACCCTCCTCCTCTTAGTCCTCACCCTTCTTCTCCTGTTCCTTTTCCTGCCCCTCTTCCCGTTCCTCATCGTCGTCTGCGTATTTCTCGTCCTTCTCCTCGTCCTCCTTATCCTACCGCCGCCCCCCCTCCTCATATTATTTCTTAGTCGTAGAGTTGTGTTCTTTGGTATTGGTTCCTTATATCCGCAAGGGCTTCGCCCCCTGCCGCTGGCCCCCTCTCTCGGAGAATCGGGCATGCAAGAGTTATGTTGTGAGGCCTGGGCGCCGTCGTGAAGCAGCGTTGGAACTCCGAACGGGGTCCACTTGGGTTCGGGTCCCCCGTCCCGGGTCACTCTTGGGGCTGTCTTGTGGCCCTCTTGGGCCGTCTTGGGGGTCTCCCGAGCCGTCCTGGGGCCTTCTCGAACCGTCTTCTTGGAGCGCCTCTTGGGCCATCCTGGGGCGGTCTTTGGGGGCCTGCCTCCTGGGGCCGTCTTGGAGCGCCGGAGGCCCAGAGAGGCGATCGTGCCAAAATTCATCCAACACCCGAGGAAGGATGTTGGCCTCTTGGTTCTCTCTTGGGGTGCTCTTGGGGGCCTCTTGGGAGCCTCTTGGGCCGCCTTGGGGGCACCGTGGGCGCCTTGGAACACTCTTGGGCCGTCTCGGAGGCCTCTTGTACCAGCTTGGGTGCCTTTTATGGAGGAGTGGCCTCGAAAGCGCGAGCACTGCGTACTACATAACGGTTTGTGTTTCTGGGGACTCGAAGACTGTGTAACGCGTACTAGGGGTCGTGGCTTCGGAGACGCGGATCTTGCGAAACTTACGACGGATTATGGTCTCGGGAGCGCGACCACAACATAATTTGGGAGAGCTGATGGCCTGGGGGACGCAACGCTGGCGCACTTGACGAGGGATTATAACCTCGGAGGCGCGAACATGGCGTAATTTACGAATGGTTATGGCTGCGGGGGCGCGAATCTTACAGATTCGAACGTGTCCTAGGACCCGGAAATTGTACCCCCCCCCTGGTGGTGGTAACTCGAGCCCTTTTTCGGCTCCCCCCCTCGCGCGGACTTCAACAGTTCACAGCAGGAAGTAGAAAGCATGACTAGAACACTGGAGACTGGAAGCTGGAACTAGCGCGGGGAGCAACAAGCCTAGTCTGCGGAGCCTGGTGGCCCCACAAGGGGGGCCGGCGGATTCGTAGATGTCTTGTGTTTATGTTGATTGCTCTGCGTCTCGACGTTGGCCTCCGTTTCCTGCTCGTTGTACCCCACCATCCTCGACTACCCCTTCCCCTCGGCACGGCGGCTCATCCTCCCCACTCTCATCAGACTATTCACTATTCTCTCTGCCTCCTCGTTCTGTCCCTCCGCGGCCTTTTTTTCCTCCGCCTCTTCCTGGCCATCCCAGTCAAAAGCCTCTCTGATTGCCTTCTTCGTCCCGCTTCGAGGTCCTCATCCTTCTCTTCCCCCCCCGTCATCGGACTCCTCAGTCTCCTCGTTGTCGTCCTTCACCTCGGCAGCATCCTCTCTCGGCTTCGCTCTTCCCTCTCTTCCTCCCTCTCCATCCCTCGCGTCCTGGCTCCTAATCTTTCTTTCTTCTTCTATGCCTCATTCGGTTCCTCGGTATCATCTCCTTGTTGATCGTTCTTGCTAATCATTGTTCATTATTTCCTTCCTACTACTTGCTCCTTCTCATGCCTCATTCCCACTCCTCCGCCTCAGCGTTCTCCTCGTTTTTTTTCCGTCACCTCGATGATGGGAAGGTCGGCGCGCACAAGTCTAATTTCACATACTTTTTGTTCACGGTCACTCGTCCTTTCCTTTCGTAAGGATTGTCATCGGCATCCGCCGCCAGTTGGCTGAAGCCCCCAGGGCTCGACTCTGCTCACATTGCGTGTCTGGCGCCTGATTGGGCTCTTTGGTGCGTGGGGTGCCCGCAGCGTCGCAGGGTGTTGGCTGATTTGGGCTCTGCGGATCGGGGCGCCCGCGGCGTAGGGTCCCAAGATCGAGGGCCGAGGAGGAGCCCCAGGAATGTCAGGGGGAGCTGGGGGGACTTGCCCAGGGCCCGACCAGGATCCGGCGATGGGGCCAAGTCCAGGGTGCGAACAACGCTTCGCTGTGTAGGTAGAAAAATGGCTGCCACTAGCGGCGGGCTTGTATCTCGGATTGTTCCCTACCTAGGCTCTGCCTAGAAGGGTTCTTACTTTATAAACTTAAAGGGGCCGGGCAGTGGAAACCCCCCCGGGCGGTTCCCCCAGGATCCGCCCCGCGGTTCCCCCAGTGTCGTTCCCTTAGCTTCGCGTTGCTTATCTCATCTGAGCTTAGCTTATTTCATCTTAGCTTAGCTTAACCTAGCTTAGCTTAGCTTAGCCTAGCCTAGCCTAGCTTAGCTTAGCTCAGCTCAGCTCAGCTTAGCTTAGCGCGGCGCAGCGCAGCATCAGCATAGCATAGCACATCCTATCATAGCATAGCGTAGCATAACGCAGCACAGCATATCGCAGTATAACATAGCACATCATAGCATAGCATAGCATTCCATAGCGCAGCATAGCGCAGCATAACGTAGCATAGCACATCATAGCATATCTTAGCTTAGCATAGCACAGCGCAGCAAAGCATAGCACAGCATATCATAGCATAGCGCAGCATCTCATTGCATATCATAGCGCAGCATGGCATAGCATAGCATAGCGCAGCATCGCATATCATAGCATAGCCTAGCATAGCATAGCATAGCGCAGCATACCATTGCATAAGCAATGTCAAGCAACAGCAAAACCAACAGCAAAGCAAAAGCAACAGCAACAGCAAAAGCAAAAGCAAAAGCAAGGCACTGCAACGCAAAAACACAACCAATGCGAAAGTGTAGATGTAGATGTAGGTGTAGGTGTCGGTGTAGATGTTGATGTAGGTGTAGATGTAGATGTATATGTGTATGTAGATGTAGGTGTAGATGTAGGTGTAGATGTAGATGTAGATGTGAGTCTCGCTGTTGATGTTGATGTAGATGTAGATGCAGGTGTAGATGTTAACGTAGCTGTCGGTGTAGATGTAGGTGTTGCTTTCCTAGATGCTCCAACTCCTAGGTAGGGTCGCACTGGGATAATCCATGTCTGCGAGGGTGGAAACCGCCTGCAGTAGTTATGCGACACAGTGGTTGTCCATGAGGCACCCGCATCACCTCCGATGTTCTGTCGTTGTATCGTCATCGTCATCACCATTATCCTCGACCTTGTCGTGGTCCTGGCGGATGTTAGCTAGCATATTCCGCAAACTTGGTGCACCGACTTCCGTGACACACACGGTTGGGGTAACGTCAAGTCTGTTGGAGCCACCGGTTTGGCGATTCATTCAGCAGCGTGTCGTTGCCGCTTGCTTGGGTCAACTCGGGCAGTCAGCAACCGAAGTGTTGTTGCTTAACAAATAAGTGCTCAACCGCACGATGACTTGGATACGCCACCTTTCCTTCAGTACCAAGCGCCTCCCCCCCCTCACGGGAGGTGGGAGGTCTTGTGAGCCCTCGAGTCCTTCGGGCGCCGCTCGGAGGACCTCGGCCCTCGCTGCCCCTGGCGCATGGCCCGGCCTGCTGCCCCTGGAGCGTGCCCCGTTGTGTGGCGGGGGGGCCTTCGGGCCATCCGCAGGGGCGAAGGTGGCCGCACGCCGCGCTCCGCGACCTCTCCTTCTCTGGGGTGGCCAGCGCGAGAGCGCTGGGCAGGAGGTGGGTCACCCTCAGGGCCAGGAAGATGGCCGCGCTTCGTGCGTCGCGGTCTGGGTCGGACCGGTTGCTCTTCTCCAACACTGGAGGCCCATGCCAAGAGACACCTTGCTCGCCTCCAGGGTTTGCTGGGGTTCTTGGATTTCGATGTTTCTACGATGGGAAAATTGACAGACCCACACCAAAAAAGAATGGACAGCCTGGGGCCTCCGGGCTGGGTCTCTTGTGGAAGGCCTCTTGTGGTTGGGCCCCTACTGCACTGGGGGGTGGCCTACCGACGCCGACGCCGACGCCGACACCGACGACATCGCCGACGCCGACGCCGACGCCGACGCCGACGCCGCCGACGCCGACGACGACGACGCCGACGAGGACGACGCCGAGGCCGACGCCGACGCCGAGGCCGAAGCCGACGACGACGACGCCGACGACGACGATGCCGACGCCGACAACCGCGCGTCGCGCATCGCGGGGCGCGGCGCGCAAAGGGCGGGCGGCCCAGAAGAGGAGCCACGGAGGACGGTGCGCCACAAATGGTGCGGCAAGGCACCGCTGCGCGGACGGCCTAGCCCGTGCTTCGGGAGCGGGCCACCCCGCCACGCTCATGCCGAGCTCCTCCTCCCTCGTCCTCCTCCTCCTCCTCCTCCTTCTCCTCCCTTTCGCCCGCCTCTCCTGCGCTGGGCGCACGCATGCGCGACCTGTTTTGCTCTTGCAGAGAACGAGGAGTGCGGACGTTGATGCATGTGTGTGCCTTGCTTGGGATAGCGCGCGAATCGAAGAAAACACCATGTTCCGTGGCATGGAAGGCATGTGTTCCCGCTGGTCGGAGCAGAGCTTTGGAATCCATGGGCCGCGCAGCCAGATGTGTAACTCCCTCTGCGGAGCATCGCCGCGAACATTTTTATGTCGGTTTTTAGAAAACCCTGTGTGTTTTAAAGTTCGGTGGGGCAAATCAGGGCACGGACGAGCCACGCAACGCAGTGTGTTCTAGCGTTGGCAACGAAGGCCACGAAATGTCCCCTGGAACGGCTTTCCTCTCAGAGGCCTCCTGAGGGGGCCGAACGGTGCCACACCAGCGCGTCATGACATCCATCATCAAGACGAAAGTCCTACGATGTTGCGCGACACACTACACGCGCGGAGGGCCAGCCTTCCATGGACCAGTGCTGGATGAGGACGCCATGGCGCACATCTTTGGCGCACCAGCACCAGCGTGTCATGACATCGGTGGACCACACCAGCACGTCAGGACAACCATCAGCATGAGGATGGCCCTGCGACAGCACATTCGTGGATACACATGCGAACGGCCAGTGTCCCATGTGTACCCATCGCTCTGCCACACTAGCACGTCATTGCATCCATAATCCTGATGATGTCCCTGCTACGACCACACACGCATAACGTGCAATCGTTGGGTCTGGGGCGCACAAGTCCCCAGCGTGCGTTGATACCTTTTGCTTTGTGCAGCGGCCAAAAGGGTCGAGCGCTTGACGGGCGAAGACGACGGTTGTAGTTCAGGCGAATTGCTGCTCGAACCACGAAACGCCATGTGTTCTCGCTGCGGCACCGAAAAGGAGATGTCCACAATTTCGTCCTCTGAATGATTTTCCGGCAAATGGGCTCTTAAGTGAGCCGAACGGTCTTACACAATTCTTGGGATCGGTGCTGAATGAAGACTCCATGGTGTATATTTTCGGCAGCTCAGTGTGTCATGAAATCGGTGTTCCACACCAGCGCATCATGGTACCCATCATCACGACGATAGTCCTGCCATGATGCACGAGTGGATACACATGCGGAATGCCAGCCTGCCATGACACCGGCGTGCCACACCAGCGTGTCATGACATTCCTCGTTCCGATGATGCGGGTAATGATGATGATGATGATGATGATGATGATGATGATGATGATGATGATGATGATGATGATGATGATGATGATGATGATGATGGTCTTGCGACGAAACATGACTGGATTCACGTGCGGAGGGCCAGCGTCCCATGTGCATTATCGTTCTGCCACATCAGTGTTCCAGGACGTTCATCATCAAGACGATTTCAGGTTTCGGCCACGCACTCAAGACATACAATGTAAACGACTGGGGCGCATAAGTCGGCAGCGTCCGTTGATACATGTTGCCTTGGGCAGAGGCCAAGCGGGTCGCACACGCGTGTGCCCAGAGCCCTCCTCTCCTCCTCCTCCTTCTCCTCCTCCTCCTCCTCCTTCCTCCTCCTCCTCCTCCTGCTCCTCCTCTTCATCCTCCTCCTCGGCGATCCCCGGTGCCCCACGCCTCCCGCTCCTGCAGTGACGAGGGTCAGGAGGTAGGAGGAGAGAGACGGGATGGGGGACGAGGAGCTGGAGGAGATGGACGAGGAGTGCGTGCACGAGGTGGCCCCAGATCCAGCCGCCCCCCCCCCACACCTGAGGGCCCTGAGGACCTCGAAACCGTGCGCATGACTGCCATCACCCCGAGGGGCCCCTTCGTCGCCCGCCGTCTTGCCGCGGAGGAGCTGAAGGAGGAGGACGACGAAAACAGCGACGGTGCCAACGACGCCGACGTTGACGTTGAGGATGACGACGACGACGACGACGACGACGACGACGACGACGACGACGACGACGACGACGACGGCGACGACGACGACGGCGACGACGACGACGACGACGACGACGACGGCGACGACGACGACGACGACGACGACGACGATTTCGAGACGACGGCGACACGCCGAGAGGAAGGCGACTTCGACGGCGGCGGCGGCTGCGGCGGCGGCTTGGGCCAGGGCCTCTCGCGGCGGCGGGCGGCCCGCCCCCCGCGATCCCGACAGGCGCTTTGCTCGCAGGCCCCCCTGCAGCAGCGCACGCAGCTGTCCCTGGCGACCTCGCTCTCGCCCACCGCGGCGCCCGGGCCCGAGGCCCCAGCCGGCGCCACTGCACCTCTCTTCGGAAGCGCTGCGCAGAGGGGGGGCGATAATTGGGGGGCGGGGCGAAGATTGGTGCACCTCGCGGGCCCTCGAGCTAAGGAGCCCCCTGGGGCCCCAAAGGGGCACGAAAGACACGAAGGGTGCTCGTTCTTTCGTTCTCCCAGCGTTCGCCCCCCTCCCCCCGATTAAGCAACGCCCAGTCACAGGGCCTAGTCCCTCCTCCCCCGATCGTCCGGCGGCGACGGCGTCGTCCTCCACGGCGGCGTTCCTGGAGGCTCTCGGGCGCACTTGGAGGCTCTCGTCGCCACGACGGGGCGCAGCTCGAGTCACTGACAGTGGTGGGTCCTGGGAAGGGTCCTTCGGACGGGCTAGGACGAGGAGAAATCCATTCCAGAGCGTTCCAGAACGCTTTCAGCGCGTTCTGGAATGCTCTGAGAAGGCCGCGGCGCCCGAGACATCCTCCAGAGCCGCTGGATTTCAGAGATTCCCGCTTGATACTCGCCCGATGTTATCCTCGTCCAGGCTTCGTCTTGTGGGAGGGGTCCTGGGACCGATCTTCAGCGGATGTTGACCCTGAGAAGCAGGAGCCCTCGCCTGTCAGTTACCGTGGTGCGAGCGGGTGGTTCACTCGCGGAGGTCTGGCAGGCCCTGGCCAAGCAAGCGTCGTTGCGCTCATCTTCCTGGGCAGATGTCGTTGGACTCGGTTTCTTTTCCTTTTCTGGTCAGCGATGGGTGCGGGGCCTCTGGAGGGGCCCGCGCTATCCACCACCTCGTCCTCCTCCACACCCCTCCTCTCCCCTCCTTCCCCACTGCCCGCCTCCTCCTTCTCGTCGACCTCATCCTCCAAATCCTTCTCCTCTCGCAGGTAATCTGTGATTGGACCATCGGGCACACCTGGTGCGAGCAGAAGAGAAAGCGCCGTGCAAAGTTAACACTCGTGCGGGAAAACATAAGAGCAAAGTAATGGGCAGTAGGTGTGGAAGATCAGAGTCAGAAGACCCAGGATGGGCAATGGGCACTGGTTGGTGCCATTTTCCTCCTCCTTCTCCTCCTCCCGCTCTTCCTCCTCTTCCCCCTCCTCCTCCTCCTCCTCCTCCTCCTCCTCCTGCTCTCCCCCCTCACCTCCCTCCCTTACCTCCACCTCCTCGTCCACCTTCCTCGCTCATCCTCCTCCACCCCCTTCCCTCTTTTTCCTCCTCCTCCTCCTCCTCCTCCTCCTCCTCCTCCTCCTCCTCCTCCTTCCCTATCCCTCCCCACTCCTCCACATCGTCTTCTTCTGATCATGAGTCATGAGTATTCGGAATTTCGTCTTCACCTCCTCCCTCCTCCTGCCGCCCTCCCCCCATGTCCTCCCTCCCTCCGCCGCCCCCGTGCAGAGCCGTGCTGGCCCGGCCTTCGTCGCCGCGCACGCTGCCCCCCTCCCCCGAAGCGCCAGGTGGCCCCCACCCCTGGACAGTTCACGTTCACCCTGCGCAAGGCCCGCGGGCGTGCCGCCACGCCGCGGGAGCAGGAGAAGGGAGGGAGGTGTGGAAGGAGAGGGCGGGGGGAGGGGGCGGGGCAAGCTGGGTGCGCTCGCGTCATATCTGACGTCGTACCCCTCCCTCCCATCCCTTACCATGACGTAGATCTCCTCTCCATTCGCACAGTCGGATATCGAGCAGGGCAATGATCCCGAGAGGGTGTGCGATGTTTCGCAGGGCACGGCATAGCAGGGCGTAGAAGAACACGGCAGAGCGTAGTATGTCATAGCATGGCGTGGCGTTGCGTAGTGAAGAATTGCCTCACAAAGCATTGCAACGCAGAGAGTTGCATCGCACAGCGGCACATAACATAATATGGCATAGCATGGCGTTGGCGATCAAAGCGTAGCACGGCATAGCATGGCGTGGCTCTGCGTAGTCAAGCACTGCATATCTTAGCAGTGCAGCAGAAGGCATGGCATCGCACAGCGGAACACCACATAGCATTGCATTGCATGCGGTGGCATGGCACTGGCACTAATGACGCCAGCGCTGCAGCGGGAGCACGATTCGGAACGAGCGGAAGCGCGAAAATAAGGCCAGCGTTGCGGCGGGAACACGATTCGGAACGAGCGGAAGCGCGGAAATGAATCCAGCGCTGCAGCGGGAGCACGATTCGGAACGAGCGGACGCCCGTAAATGAGGCCAGCGCTTCAGCGGGAACAACTTGTTGAACAACAACCCAAGCGGAAACCCCCTTCCCTTCGCGGAGGGGGGCCGAACATCTTCTGGACGTCATCGAGCTGTCCTTCCAGGCGTCTGGCTTCTGCTCGAGCAGCCCCGGTGTAATTCCGGCCTGGCTCGCAGGACGCTGTATTCCCTTCCCTTGTCTCTGGCCCGCCCGGTTCATTTTCACACTGTGTGCGCGGCAAATTAATTCTCAGTGAGTTCTTTTGCTCTGCCAGATCTTCCAGGACTGCTGCCTGTGGGGGTGCTTTGTTCGCGTTGAGGAAAAAAGTCATCAGGGGAGAGAGGAGAGTAGTATGCAGATAGTGTAATTGTAGAGTGGGGAGGAGCAGGGCGGAGGAAGAGGAGGAAGGCAGGGGAGGAGGGCGGAGGGGGAGGGGCGAGCGAGGATGAGAACAGGGAGAGGGGGGAGAGTCGAAGGATAGCGGAGGGCGAGGGAGGGAGGAGGGCAAGGGGGGAGGAGGAGGGATAGAGGGGAAAGGGGGGAAGGGAGGGAAGGATGGCGGGGGCGGAAACTGGGACGAGGGAAGGAGGAGGGGGGGGGGGGGGGGGGGGGGCGAATGCGGATGAGCAGGGCGGAGGAAGAGGAGGAAGGCGGAGGGAGGAGGGCGCAGTGGGAGGGATGAGGGAGGAGGGGAACAGAGGGGTCGGATTCGGATTTGGAGCGGTTGCGAAGCAATCTTTTATGAGCACCCTGCGAGCCGCCCCCTGACCTCTATGAGCAGCACGAGTATGAAGAAGGGCTGCACGACCGAATGCGCAGACCGAGCCCTGCGAAGCTGACGGAACACACGGATACCGTCATGAGTCCCTCCGTTGTTGACCCATGTTCTCTCACTCCAAAGGGAACGGACGAGTTCGAGGCCGTGCAGGATGACAAAACGAGGACGCCCAAACCACACAAACGAGTCAGGTCACCTCCATTTATTTGAGCTCCGTATGGCCGGCATCCCAACAACATAACACACGATAGTTGAATTGAAGTCTAAGCTACATGAGCAAGACCGAATGGCCAGCGCGACATCGAGAACGCCAAGCCCCTGTATGGTCCTAACGTGCAGCACAAACCAACATTGAGGACACATGGTTACACATGTCATCACGTCCCCCAAACGTCGGGAAACCTTTTTGAAGCTCAATGCACTTGAAGCGCAACCTGCGAACACCAAGGAGTATGACCAGAAATTGCGCGGTTCAGAATACAGACGGCCGGGACGCCAACCACCAAGAAAAGGGGAAACGACAGCATTGAAATAGTCCCACCCCTCTGTAGCAAGTCGCTCACCCCCATGCGGCGTGCCACAAGCGCAGAAAGGCCCTAGCACGCCGACCGCCTGGGAGGGCAAACCACCACCAGACAAGCAATACGAACTACTGCACCCATGGACGTGGCGAGTTGGCCGCTGAAGCCCATGCAGAGGTGCTCAGGACAGGGTAGGAATCAACACCCTAACCGTGGACGTGGCGAGCTGACTGTTGAAGCAAGCGGAGACGATGGCGACACCAGCATCTCCAAGTGCCAACTGGACGGACTGACCGTAGCCTCGGACAGAAACCTCGGCTTCCGCCACCGAGGTAGACTGCACGAGAACATACGGTAGGGTCGATGCCCCCCCAAGAGCCACGAGAAGGCGCGACGCTTGCTCCCGAGCGAAACCACAAGGGTTGTTCGAGCCCAAGTGTCTTGAGTGAGTGAGGGTGTCAAAGGGGGTGTGGAGGAGGGCGGAGGGGGAGGGTAGAGGGCGGAGGGGAACGGAGGAGGGTAAAGGGGGTAGGGAGGAGGGAACGAGGGGAAGGGGGTGGGGAGAGGGAAGGGAAGGAGGGGGTGGGGTGACTGGGATGAGGGAGGGAGAGGAAGGGGGGGGGGGGGTGCAGGGGTGGGGGCGGGGGGGGGCTTGGGGAGGAGCAGGGCGGGGGAAGAGAGAAGGAAGGCGGAGGCAGGAGCCGGGGGTCATGCGGCGAGGGGGGCGGGGAACAGAGGGGGGAGGGGCGGGGGGAGGGCGGACGGGGAGCGGAGACGGCGGAGGGCGAGGGAGGAGGGTCAGTGGGGAAGAGGAGGAGGAGGTGGGCGGGGGGGGGCAGGGCAGCAGCCGCGGCGCCAGAGGCGGACGGCGCCGACCTGGGCCTCGACGTATCTCACAGCCACAAGGACAAGGCCCTCAGGATCGAGGGCGTGCGCCCCGAGGGCGCGGTGGAGGCCTGCGCGGTCGACGGGGCGGTGTCGGGGAGAGGAGGAGGAGGAGGAGGAGGAGGAGGAGGAGGAGGAGGAGGAGGAGGAGGAGGAGGAGGAGGAGGAGGAGGAGGAGGAGGAGGAGGAGGAGGAGGAGGAGGAGGAGGAGGAGGCGGAGGAGGAGGAGGAGGAGGAGGAGGAGGAGGAGGAGGAGGAGGAGGGAGGAGGAGGAGGAGGAGGAGGAGGAGGAGGAGGAGGAGGAGGAGGAGGAGGAGGAGGAGGAGGAGGAGGAGGAGGAGGAGGAGGAGGAGGAGGCGGAGGAGGAGGAGGAGGAGGAGGAGGAGGAGGAGGAGGAGGAGGAGGAGGAGGAGGAGGAGAGAGGAGGAGGAGGAGGAGGAGGAGGAGGAGGAGGAGGAGGAGGAGGAGGAGGAGGAGGAGGAGGAGGAGGAGGAGGAGGAGAGGAGGAGGAGGAGGAGGCGGAGGAGGAGGAGGAGGAGGAGGAGGGGGAGGAGGAGGAGGAGGAGGAGGCGGAGGAGGAGGAGGAGGAGGAGGATGCGATTGGGAACGGTACCTCATCGCGTCGCTTCGCCGGTTCTGGCCTGCCACGCTTCGGCGCGATTCCCAGTTCCCGAGGCGTCAATGTCTCTGGCCTTTCCGAGCCTCCCGCCGCGCGGAGTTGCGAGTCGTTTCGCCTGCAAGGCATAGTGTGTCTCTGGGGCCGCCGCCGCGACACTCACACATCGATTTTGTCATTTCTCCTTTCTCCTCCCTCTCCTCTCCCTTCTCCTTCATGGCTGGTGGTTCCCGTGGTGGGCCTCCTTTCTCTCAGTAGGGAAGCTGGCAAGTCTCATCGTCATTGGATTTGGTCCATGGAACAAACAAATGTGCCAGTGGTGTTATCAGGATGCCGAGGCGCCCTACTACTGAGAGGAAGGGATCTGATCTCCTGCCTTTTAACCGTGAGGAGGGGGAGAAGGAGGCGGAGGGGGAGGTGCGTGAGAAGGAAAGGGGGGGTGTATTGGAGGAGGAGGGGGAGCAGGGCTCTGCGCCCCCCGCGAGCGCGCCGCCATGCGGATCTCTGGTTTGTGATGGCGAGAGCGGGAGAGGATGGTCATGGTGTTTGGGCGATCGGTGGCTTCCAGAGGCCTCCCGGGAGCCGCTGGGCACCCCTGGAAATTGTTAGGTACCTCGGGAAACCATTTCCTCGTTTGGGGCAGACGCAGGGAGAGGGGGAGGCCAAGAGACAGGGCAGTTGGCAAGGGGTGCTTGGGTACTCCCTGGTAGGCGTCAAGCTCCCGAATCGAAAGCCGCAGGGCGTCTCGCCCACGACCACCCGCTCTTCCATAGCACAGTGAGCAGCTACAGCAGGTGTGCCAGTTGCACTAGCTGCATCAAGTCCGCCATCTGCACCGTGGGCGCCAGTGCTTCCGAGGTGTGCCCCCGGCGTTAGACGCGCCAGGTACGCCAGGTGCGCCACCTGTCCGCCAAGTAAGGTTATTGTTGCAATGTGCGCCTGGTGCAACAAACACGCCAACTGCAACATGTGCACCAGGTTGGCCAGGTGATCCAGGCACGCTGGCGTGCCGAGTTTGCCAGGTGTGTCGGTGCACCTGGCGGCATGCAACGGACACTATGTGTCCCCCGGCCAGCCCCCGTCCCTGCAAGGGCGCGCCAAGATCGCAAGGTGTGTCAGGGCAAATGGCGGCATGTCCCGCCCTGTTAGTGATGGCGAGGGTACTGGCACCATGTCCATGATGTGTGCCAGCTACAATTTGGTACGCCCACTCCGACCCGCCATCCCGAAACAGAAGTACCACCTGCGACTCGGCGCCAGGTGCGTCATGTACGCCCAGTTCGCCAGGGTCACTATGTCCAGGTGCGCTTGGTGCGCGCCGAGTCCGGCAAGTCCGCTAGCGCACGTGACTGCACACATCAGGCCGATACACTGGAAAATGTTCTCTCACACGCACGCCGCCCCAATCAAAGATCAATGCAATGCGAGGGTGGGATGTTGGCATCATGTTGGGTGCGTGCAGTGTGCTTGCTATGCGCGACGGACTATCCCTGACCTTGGTCGGTGGCCATCCCAGTGGTGGAAGAGAGCAGAGATAAGTCCTGGGGAAGAGGAGGAGGAGGAGGAGGAGGAGGAGGAGGAGGAGGAGGAAGAGCGAGCACTCGAGTTTTCGAAGGCTTTGGTATTCGTTCGAGACTCGGAAGACCGTCAGAGGCTTCGAGAGCCAGAGGCCTTACAAAGCCAGCGGCCTCATGAACCCCCCAGAGACACCTGGGGACCTCTGCAGGAACCCCATGGACCTCCAGAGACTTCCCGGGCTGAGGGCACCGGGGCTGCATGCGGTTGCCTCTTGGGCCCCCCTCGGAGGCGTGGAATCGGCAGTGCCACGGCGGCGTCGCCGCGGAGAAGGTGGTGAGGGAGGGGGACAAGATCGTCAGCGTGAACAGCGTCTCGCACGACCCGGACAGGATGCTGCAGGAGTGCAAGGAGAAGCAGCTGCTCAAACTGACCATCGTCCGCGGAGAGCGGGTGCTCCCCACGAACGGGATCCAAACTCTTGGACGGGTGCCCTCTTGTTTCTCCGACCCATCCCACTACCCCTTGCGCTCCTTCCATTTCCGTCTCCCCTTCCTCCTCCTTCTCCTCCTCCTCCTCCTCCTTATCATCCTCCTTCTCCTTCTCCTCCTCCTCCTTCTCATTCTCCTTCTCCTTCTCCTTCTCCTTCTTCTTCTCATCCTCCTCCTCCTGGTCATCATCGCCTTCCAACCAACTCCCCTTCGCCCACCCCGCCCTCTGCCCCCCTCGGGCTCAAGGCTCTGGCGAGCCAGTGGCGCACAGGGGCTCAAGCAATCAACAGGGACCTCGCTGCAGAGCCGAGTGGGCGCATCCAGCGTCTCAGCCGAGAAGGAATTCTCAAACCCCTCGTCCTCCTCCACCTCATCCTTCTAATCCTCATACCCTGATTGCCGCCTCGGGCGGCGTCGTCCGGACGTGATGAGAACTCACCGTACCCGAGCGTTCGTCGCGTCCCGCTCTTGGGTAGTAGTCGCAGACGAGCGCGATGAAGAGGATGCCGAAGTGAGAGAGAGGGGGGGAGACGGGGCAGACGGGATAAAGTCTTGTTCCTTCCTTCTCCGCTCTTCCCCTCTCTTCCTCTGGCTCTGAGCTGTGGCGTCCCAACGTGATGAAATGGAGGAGGAGGAGGAGGAAGAAGAGCAGCAAAAGGAGAAGGAGGAGGAAGAGGAGGAGGGAGGGGGGAGAAGGAGGGAGGGAGGAGGGGACCGAGGGGGGCAAGGGCCCGTAGAGAGGCTGGCCGCGGTGGCCGGCCAAGCTCGCTTATTGCTGATGTGTGCCTGGCCTCCTTTCTGGCGGCGTTCGGCGGCGGCTACGAGGTCCGCGCAGCCTCGGCTCTCGAGTGTGGGGCCGCCCTGGGAAGGGAAGGGGCCCCGGCGCAACCAGGGGCCCTGGAGAAAATGAGCCTCCTAGAGGTGTGGAGGTGCTCGCCATATGGAAAATATAGGGAATCCTGGAGTTTGTCTTTATTCATTGCTCGGGATGTTGAGGCTGGCCCCCGAGGCGGAAGTCCCTGGGGTCCATGGGCCCTTCGCCGGAATGACCTTTTGGTGCGCGGCGTTGGGCGGGGGCTCGACTAGACGTAAGAGTGACCTTTCGCCGGAGTGACCTTTGGTGCGGGCCAAATGGGGCCCCCCGATCGCCGAACGCGAGGCGGCAGTGGCGTCGTGCGCGCTTGTGTTTGGCCCCCTCGCGGCCCCCCCAAAGCCGCGCACCAAAGGTGACTCTTTATTACCCAGGGTCACTCTTGCGTGTGGCCGAGGGGGCGCGGGCGGCCAAGCCCAATCCAGTGCACGCAGGCCTCTGCCGTCGCACCCCACGCAACGATCGGCAGGCCGCGCACAGCGGTCGCCCTTGCACAGGGTCACGCCCGCATGCGGCTGGCTTCCAACCTCGATTGAGGGAAGAGACGCTGGGACCATCACCAAGATGCCGCGGGATCCTGTCGATGCCAATCTTTATCATGGCCCATGTCGGCCGTCGCCGACTCGCGAGGATGACCCACGAGTCCAAGCTGACCAAGATCGACGGTGACCCAGATCGGCACGACGTCTCCACGTTCAGTCTTGGTCCTGGTTCCCAAGGGCGCCCTCGAGGGCGCGAAGTGATTCGCGCGTCTCGCTTCGTGGTTCGGCTCCGCTTCCTCCTCGTCCTCCCCTTCTCCCCTGGGAGGCGGCGCGAGAGCGCGAAGTGATTCGCACTCCGCGCTCTCGCGCGGCGCGAGGCGCGACGCTGGGAGCCCTTGGTTCCAGTGTTCGGCCCCTCCACTCGGGCCAAGTGGGGACTATTTTTGAGCATTTGTTTTGACTATTTTACTATTTGGGAACATTTGTTTGACTATGTTTGACTATTTTTGAGCTTTGTTTTTTTGTTTTTTTCACTATTTTGGAGCATCTTTGGACTATGTTCAATTTTTCGTCGAAAATCCTCCTGCAGGGGGACACGCCCGACTTCAACCAAGTGGCTCGGTGGCCCCAGGGGCACGGCCGCGTCGCACGGGTCGGCGAATCGAGGGGGGCGGGGGGCCTCTCCGCGCCCCCCTGCGTGAGGCAGGCTCGCGCCGACCTCGGCGGCGGCGGCGGCGGCGGCGCCCCCCCCGCCCCGACTTTCAGTCGGGCCTGTCCCTCCACAGGGGGAACTATTCAAAGATAAATATAAAAAAAAAAAAATTGTCTGGGGACTGTTGTTTGGACATTTGTTCGCCATTTTGGAGTATTTTTGGGGGTGTTCTTTATTTTTCCTCGAAAATCCCCCTGTAGGGGGACGCGCCCGACCTAACCCCGACTGGAGGCCGCGCCGCGCCGCCGGAAGGGCCAGCCGGGAGCGATCTCGACTGCGGGGTGTCGAGCGGTGGCGAAGCGTCCTGACTTCGGCGCCACCCCCAACATGCTGATGGTATATGTGCGTCGCCTTAGTGGGCCCTGGAAACGACAGGGCCGTTTTCTTACCGGTTCCGTCGCCGTTTTTTGACCGGTTCCGGCTCCGGTTCCAATCCTGGAGCCGTTTTTTTCCCGTTTCTGGTCGCCGTTTTTTTGCCGTTTCCATTTTCAATGGGCATTTTTTGGGAAACGGTGGAAAAACGGCCCTGCCGTTTCTGGGGCCCACAAAGTGCGTCGCCCCCCCCCAGAGGCCACGCGCACACCTAGAGATCTTAGTGTATTTGGCGTCGTGGCCGACGCTTTCTGGCCACACCGCTCGGGAAACGACATACTGCAAGATGGGTGTACTACATGTTCAGGTCGGACGCGCGCCTCCAAGGAGGACATGTAGTATTAGTATACCTCTGTGCGTCCCATGACTCGCCCAACGGCCCAGCAGGGAGTGTTCTAAGAACCTTTTGAGGTTTCCACCGCGTGTTCTTAGACATGTCTGGCTTTGACCGTCGTGGTTTCACATGCCGCCTTTTGTACTCTATGAGCATTTCCGTTCTCAGAACAGAATGCAGTTCTGAGAACATTTCGTGGAGACCTGTGGGAATGCTGGGACGGTCAGTCCCTGCTCAAGAACAGCGGGAAAAGCCGTTCTTGCTTTTGTATGGGATCGAGTCTCAAGCGAAAAAAACCTCTTCGGGCCAAGCTGCCCACCGTGCAGCATCGAGCGATCGTCGTCGACAATGAGACCGGAGGCGACGCGAAGAGATGCAGTGCACAGTGGGGAGACGCCCCTGGAAGCCCCACGGAGGCGCGATAAGGACCAGGCGACCAGGCCTGAAAGCTTCGACCCCCATCCTCCTCGATTCCTGCTACTGCTACTCCTCCTCCTCCTCCTCCTCCTCCTCCACCCTGCTCGATCTTCATACTCCCCCCCCTCCTCCTCCTTCTCCTCCTCCTCCTCCTCATCCTCCTCCTCCTTCTCTTTCCCCATCCGCCTCGATCCTGCTCGATCCTTCTCCTCCTCCTCCTCCTCCTCCTCGTCCGCCTCGACCCTCAGATCTGATGTTGCAAAAGTGCAAAAAGATTACAACACCGTTCAACAAAAACCACGACCAGAGCCCTAGACCCATCTTTCTGCACCAT